AATTTTTCCAAATTTTGATAATTTTCTTAAAAGTTAGCCATCCGTACTTGCTAAGATAAAACTGATTTTGGCAAATGACATACCCTCTAAGAAAAGAGGGGGTGGGTGGGCGGGGCTAGTTCCTGCTAAGATAAGAGTAATTTTGGCAAAAGAGATACCCTCTAAGGAAAGAGAGGGTGGGTGGGCGGGGCTAGCACCTGTTAAGATAAGAGTAATTTTGGCAGATGAGATACCCTGTAAGAGAAGAGAGGGTGGGTGGGCGGGGCTAGCAGCTGCCAAGATAAGACAAATTGAGATTATATTAGCAGGTAATAGCGCCGCCCACCCAAAGTCTCTTTTTTTAGAGGATGTCATTTGCCAAAATTATCTTTTTTTCTTTTATCTTAGCAGCTACTAGCTCCAAAATTTTTCGGAAAAAATGCTATCTTAGATATGCATTGTGCAAAGTATGATGAGTCTATAATTGCAATTTATAACGGCATAAATATTTTTTGGATTTGCTTAAATAGGTGACTCAAAAAAATTAACGAATCAGTCAATTTATTATTGAACAAATTAAGAACAAGCCACCCCATTTTCTGGAAAATATGAGAATACGCTCGTCTTTATAACAATAAAATAATGATAAGGTAAGAATTATAATAATAACATTCAGGGCTTATGAATAATTTTAATCATCTGGGCCCCCCGAGAAGGTTTCATATTCTTAGAAAAGACATTTGGCGCCCCTAGCAGATTTTACATTTTCAAAAAAGTACATTGGGACCCCCGAGAAGGTTTCACCTTTTTAAAAAGGACAGTTGGGAGCCCCGAGAAGGTTTCGCATTAAAAAAAAAACACTTGGCATCCCCGAGAAGGTTTCCATTTTAAACATGTTTTGAGTTTCTTGTTGTGCAAAGAAGTCTACACATATTTTGCCAAAAAGACAAAATGTTGACTATTTAACCAATTTTTGGCGTTCTGAGCAGCCCCGTAGCTAGAAAACTTATTCAGGGGGGGCAAGTTTGTCGACAGAGGGGACTTCATGTAAATATTTATATTTTAATAATACACTCAGATAACTACTTTATTTTTTCTGAGTTTCTATATTTGAAAGAACATTAAAATAATTGGAAACGTCGATTTTTCACGCTAAATTTTCGTAAAAACCTGTCGAAGTCCAAAAAATTAGTACGGTACTTGGTTAAAATGCTGGTTAAAACAGAGAATGTAGATTCACAAACAGCTGTACTGCATCCAAAAATTTGTGTAGTGACCATATAGGTAACATCCAATTTGTTTGAGTTTATTTTTTTGCATGTTTAGTACATATTTTAAAAATCCGACTTCGAAACCAAATATTTCGAAAATTTTGGTACGGAACCATGAACTCGTCATGTTTTTTTAAACTCGTCGAGGTGTGTATTTCAGAATTTTTTGTCAACTTTAACAAAAGCTCAATTTTTGGAAACCCATATAAAATTTTTGACTTTTCCCAAGCATTTTCGAAAATTACCAAAAGAATTCCTTTGTTCATCTCGATTTCTTCCAAAAATCGTTTTGGATTCAATTTTTTTGAAAATTCTTACATTTTTTGCAGAATCGACGGAAGAAAAATGGCAATTTTTGAGAACCTGTATCAAATTTTTGACTTTTTTCAAGCACATTCGAAATTACCAAAAGGGATTCCTTTATTGATTTCGATCTCCAGATGTTGTTTTTGGTTGTTTTTTCGAAAATTCGTACAATTTTTCCATAATCGCCAAAAGAAATATGGTAATTTTTGAGAAATTTTGAAAATTCCAGTTCGAAACCGAGAATTTCGAAAATTTTGATCCGGAACCTTGAACCTGTCATGTGTTTTTAAGCTCGTCGAAATCAATATTTCAGAATTTTTTGTCAACTTTTACGAAAGTTCAATTTTTGAAAACCCATATAAAATTTTTGGCTTTTCCCAAGCATTTTCGAAAATTACCAAAAGAGATTCCTTTGTTCATCTCGATTTCCAGAAATCGTTTTGGATTCAATTTTTTTGAAAATTCTAACTTTTTTCCAGAATCGACGGGAGAAATATGGCAATTTTTGAGAACCTGTGTCAAATTTTTGACTTTTTTTCAAGCACGTTCGAGATTACCAAAAGGGATTCCTTTATTGATTTCGATCTCCAGATGTTGTTTTTGGTTGTTTTTTCGAAAATGCGTACAATTTTTCCACAATTGCCAAAAGAAATATGGTAATTTTTGAAAAATTTTGAAAATTCGAGCTCGAAACCGAGTATTTCGAAAATTTTGATCCGGAACCATGAACCTGTCATGTTTTTTTAAGCTCATCCAAATCTATATTTCAGAATTTTTTGTCAACTTTTACGAAAGTTCAATTTTTGAAAACCCATATAAAATTTTTGACTTTTCCCAAGCATTTCTAAAAATTATCAAAAGAGACTCCTTTGTTCATCTCGATTTCCAAAAATCGTTTTGGACTCAATTGAGATCAACATTTCAGATTTTTTTTGTGGATTTTTAGTCAACTTCAACAAAAGCTAAATTTTTGAAAATCTATAAAATGTTTATGACTTTTCCCAACCGTTTTCGAAAATTAGCAAAAGGGATCTCTTTATCGATTTCGATCTCCAAATGTTGTTTTTGGTTTTATTTTCTCGAAAATTTGTACAATTTTTCCAAAGCCGCCAAAAGAAATGTAATTTTTGAGAAATTTTGAAATGTCGACTTTGAAACCGAATTTTTCGAAAATCTTGGTCTGGGACCATCAAGACCTTATGTTTTTGGATTAAGCTCATCGAGATCTACATCTCGGAATTTTTTGTTGGTTTTTTGTTAATTTCAACAAAAGCTCAATTTTTAAAAATCCATATACATTTTTTGACTTTTCCCAAGCATCTTCGAAAATTAGCAAAAAGGATCTCTTTATTGATTTCGATTTACAGATGTTATTTTTGGTTTTATTTTTTTGATATTTCGTCGAATTTTTCCACAATCGCATAAAGAAATAACTTTTTTTTAAGTCACTTTTGCGATTTTTTAGAAATTTTAGGTAGAACCCAATATTTCGTAAATTTTGCTCCGGGGGCATGAACATGTTTTTCGATTAAGCTCATCGAGATCTATATTTCAGAATTTTTTGTCAACTCTAACAAAAGCTCAATTTTTGAAAACTAAATAAATTTTGACTTTTCTTAGCATTTACAAAAATTACCGAAAGTCATTCTTTTATTTATTTCAATCTTCGGATGTTGTTTTTGGTTTTATTTGATCGAAAATTTGTAAAATTTTTCTAGAATCGTCAAAAGAAATAGGAGTATAATTTTTGAGAAATTTTAAAAATTCGACTTGGAAACCGAATAGCAGCAAGACCTTATGTTTTTTGACTAAACTCGTCGAGATCTACATCTCAGAATTTTTTGTAGATTTTCAGCCAATTTCAAGAAAAGCTCAATTTTTGAAAATCTATAAAAAAAATTTGACTTTTCCCACGCATTTTCGAAAACTAGCAGAAGGGATCTTTTTATTGATTTCGATCTCCAAATGTTTTTTTTTTGGTTTTATTTTTTCGAAAATTCGTACAATTTTTCCAGAGCCGCCAAAAGAAACGTAATTTTTCAGAAATTTTGAAATGTCGACTTTGGAACCGAATTTTTGAAAAATCTTGGTCTGGGACCATCAAGACCTTATCTTTTTTGATTAAGCTCATCGAGATCTACATCTCAGAATTGTTTGTCTATTTTTTGTCCATTTCAATAAAAGCTCAATTTTTAGAAAATCCATATAATATTTTTGACTTTTCTCAAGAACCTACATAGTAGGCTATGGAATAAAATGTGACATGTTCATTTTTTTATACGGTCAACATCAACGGTAAGGTGATATTGCCAAATAATATACCCTGTACGAAAATAAAGGTGGGGCGGGTGGGGCCAGTTAATATGCTTCGGCAATCGGCATTATATTGAAATTTTATTACTAATTTGAAATTTATAATGTATAAGTCTTCCAGGGGGGGCAACCACAACTGCTACGGGGCTGGTTTTGAGCGCGTGCCACTCTCGAGATTGTTTATTTTGACGGTTTACTGCACTTGTACCTCTCCGAGTCACTTTTGTTAAAATTTCCGCACGACCGACTCCAACCCTTACTTCAGGTATATTAAACAAGCAACTCAAACCGACTTCGATATCTTTATTACTCAGAACAAAAGCGGCAAGTTTATAGTCAGGGGAATAAAGGAAGTTGCACTTAAGTAAAAGCACGTTCGGATAGAAACCGCCGAATGACTTAGATGGGGCTCCTGTCTCGAATGCGAAATGGCAAAAGTGATGAGGATGGAAGGCGGAGGGGCGGTCATAACGCGTCACACATGTGCCGCCGGGATCGCGTTTGTTTAGAGCGGAGGCAGAAATTTTGAATTTGGCGCCAGAAGCGTGACGTCGGCGCCACATTCTTTCTACTCACGAGTGTCGCATTTTAATTGTGTCGTCGATAAATCCGGGGCTACACGTTACACAGCAACGTAATTCACCCATCCGAAAGCTATTTAAGGCAACACATTAAACACTGCCGGATGTTGACGTTCGACGAGAGCCCCCTTATGTCTCAATTGAATCGCGATGAAAATTAAACGATTGCTCGTAAAGAGACGGGAACGACCGGGAGACAATTACCGAGGAAACTGGAACGGAAATGTTCGCATGAAACGGTTTCCGGTATGAAGGAATTGCCGGATCTTCTTCGGCGCTGACCCTTGTCGGTCTCTGACGGATTGTCGGAGTTGCCTCCTTTCTATATATTGTTTCCGGAGTCCTGTTTAGCCGCTTATACGTCAGAGCTGCGGTCAGCCGAGGGCGGTTTGACCGACGTGAGTGGCCGAAGCCAGATGGACCGTTCCATTAAATTTCGGGGCTAATTGACGGCCTACGTTTTTTCCGACTAAAATGATCTATGCGTTTTAATTCCCGCCGCAAGCAACGCAGCACCTCGTCTTACTAAACCGCTAATTGCCCTCCACAGGCGTGCAACTGCCCCGCCGCAGCAGCAGCAGCCGCCGCCGCCCCAGCCCCAGCAACCGCAGCAACCCAGCCAAGCATCGCCGCCACAACAGCGTACAGCTACACCAGTCGCTGATGATGTATCATCATCAGAACCGAAACCAACCGAAACACCAGAACTTAGACAGGCCCAGCTCTCGCCGCCCGCCGCCGCCAAGCTTCCGTCGCCCGCACAAAGGCCGGTGTCGTCGACGCCGCCCGCCGAGAGGTCGCGGATACAGGCAAGGTACCCGCAGAACGAGAACCTGGTGGCGAACCGGCCGCCGCTGGCGCGGCTGAGGTCGCGCAAGGAGGTGGTGAAGAAGTACGTGAAGAAGGAGACGGCGCTTTTTTTCGGCGTGGACAAGGAGAGCGAGGAGCGCCAGCAGCGGAGGTGGTTCGAGAGGAGGCTGAGGATGGCGGCCAGGTACGAGGGGGCGGGGAAAGGGTGCGGCGAGGTGGCAAATTGGCGCGTGTGTTGCAGGTGTTACGGGCCCTTGAAGGACGAGTACAGGAACGTGGGACAAACGCACAGAAGGGCGGTTTCGGAGGCGGCTTCGGGGCAACTGCAGGCCGAGAGGCCTGACGTTCTTCCGGGGCCGAACGACGTGCCGGACACGGGTCAGGAGCGGCTGAACGAGGGATCGAGACGGAGGAAGGAATCGGTGGCGAAGATGACGTGGGACGGAGTTTCGTATCTTGTTACGGTGAGTAGGTTTTTAATAACTTTGGGTGAACACCGTATTGATTTTTTTATCATTGACGAGGATTAGAGTCTAGTTGGAGGGAGATGCAGGTAGAGGGAGGCTTTCTGTTTCCTGTGCTTGATTCGCACAATGCGGCGCAGCCCTATTAGCCCCCATAATTTATTAAAAATCCTCCTTTAAGGGTTACACACGTCTAAACCCCTTTGCGCCACGCCAGCCTCCATGTTCGCCTAAAATCAATACCCGGCGAAACTTTCCAAAACATCCGAATTACCTATTCCATCTGTTTAACCCAACAACTCCTAATAATCATTGTCTAGACCCAGCGACTGAATATTTAATTCCGGCAAACACACGTTAAAAATCGCCCCTTTGAACTCGCAAAGCCCGTAATTCCACGGAAATAATTCCAAAGCTTCGACATGACAGAATTAAGCCTCGCGTGATATTTTCAACTGCCAATCTTGCGTTCGCCCGAAAATTCTATTATTGTTAATTCCCAAACGCGCTTATTGTAAACAATTTGGAAACGGGATTCGCGAATGTTTAATTCGGTTTTTCGTCTCTTTCTTTCCGAGTTTAACACTTTGCGCCCTTGGGAAAAACTCACTCGTCGTGACAGAAATCCCTATCATAAATCTCCCGGATGCAGCATTGGCATTCCGCAAACGGAATAAATCTGATTATGCAGGAATAGAACGCTTGTCTTTGGTCGTTTAATAAATGAAAAAGCGTCGAGCGGACTATATTTCAACGTTACGCGAGCGGGGTGCACTTTTCCCGGATTAAATGCAGGAGAAAGTATGGAAAAAGTGAATGCTGATGTTAGGAAGGCTTGGAAGGGTCGCGTTTGATTTACTCGACTGGCGGCTGTGTAAAAGATTAGTTTTAAACTTGTCGACTCTAGTTTTTCGGGTAATGACTAAGTTAAGTCGTTTCGTTTTCTGGTTTTACGCCCTGAGTGTTAGCTTAGGAGATATTGTAATCGAGTCCATCGAACGACTGGCTACTTTCATGTTTTCTCGACGTTTCGTACCCTAGAGTACAAAAAATAGGTCTCTCGTCTATCTGTCTGTCTATCTGGATTTGTACTAGACAGATAATACAGTATCGATTGTTGTTATTTTTTCTATGTGTGTGTTAGGAATATCATGTAGATAGTAAAACGCTAAGCAAAATTTGTCCTCTATTCGTGGGTTATGAATCCCTTTTGAGTTTTCACCTTAGGCATCCAGATTTTTGGAAAAAAAAAACAAAATTGTGTAACAACATGTTACAATTTAACTTTAAAATTGCAAAAGGTTATCGGAAGCATGGTAAATCGTTAATCAAAATTTATCCGTTTATGCTGCCTCAGGAATTGATGTCGTCTCATAATTTTATCAAATAAATGTTATTTAAAATGGTAGAAAGAAACATAGTCCTGAACGTGTGGTTTATGAATCGGCGTTGAACATTTATCTTAGACATCGAGATTTTTGGTGGAAAAAAATCAAAATTGTTGATATAACAATTTTTCGATTTCTTAATTTTTTGAATTTTCGACTCTTCGACTTTTCAACTTTCGATTTCTCAATTTTTCGGTATTTCAGTTTTTTATTCTTCAACTTCTCGATTTTTTAGTTTTTCAATTTCCCGATTTTCACTTTTTCCGTCACTTAATTTTTCGATATTCCAATTTCTCGATTAGTCGATTGTTTATTTTTTCGACTTTTCAAAGTTTTGATTTTTCGGCTTTTCGACTCATTTTTTTTAGTTTTGAATTTTTGGATTTTTCAGGTTTTTGATTTTTGAATTTTTCAATTTTGTAAGATTGCAATTCTTCGATTTCTGGATATTCCAATTTTTCGATTTTCACTTTTTCGATTACTCAATTTTTCCAATTTTTAGGTTTTTGATTTTTTGTAGCTCTTTGATTTTTCAGATTTTCGACTCTACAGGTTTTTGATTTTTCTGTTTTTCCATTTTTCGACTTTTTTCTCGAATTCTTGATTTTTCAATGTTCCGATTTTTCGGTTTTTCAATTCCATTTTTCTAATTTTTAATATTTTGATTTGTCAGGTCTTTGATTTTTCGAGTTTTCGAGTTCTAGATTTTTCAATTTTTCGATGTTTCAGTTTTGGAATTTTTTTTTATTTTTGATTCTTCAATTTTTCTTCCATTTTTTATTGTTTCGATATTTCAATGTCTTGATTTTTCAATTTTAGATTTCTTAATTTTTCAGCTTTTATTCTTTAACTTCTCGATTTTTTAGTTTTTCAATTTCCCGATTTTCACTTTTTCGGTCACTTAATTTTTCGATACTCCAATTTCTCGATTAGTCGATTGTTTATTTTCCCACTTCTCCATTTCTGGATTTTTCAATTTTTCGATTTTCACTTTTTCGATTACCCAATTTTTCGATATTTCATTGCTGAGATTTTTCAATTTTTCGACCCTTCTGTGTTTCAATTTCACAATTTCTCGAATAGTTGATTTTTATTTTCTCATTTCTCAATTTCTCGATTTTTCAGTGTTTCGTTTTTTCAGTCTTTCAGTTCAATTTTTCCAATTTTTAGGTTTTTGATTTTTTAGCTTTTTAATTTTTCAGATTTTCGACTGTACAGGTTTTTGATTTTTCAGTTTTTCCATTTTTCGACTTCTGGATTTTTCAGTGTTTTGATTTCTCAATTCCTCGGTTAATCATTTTTTTTTATTTTCCCATTTCTCGAATTCTCGATGTTTCAATTTTTCGATTCTTCAAGTTTTCGATCTTTCAGTTTTGGAATTTTTTTCAATTTTTTGATTCTTCAATGTTCCTTCCATTTTTTATTGTTTCGTTATTTCAATTTCTTGATTTTTCAATTTTGCACTTTTACAATTTTTTTATTTTTCAATTTAACAAATTTTTATATTTTTCGATTTTTCGGTTTTTTGATGTTTCCATTTTTCAGTCTTTCGATTTTTCAGTTCTAAATTTTTCAACTTTTCGATTTTGAAAATTTTTAATTTCTTGAGTTTTCAATTTTTCGGTTTTTAAATTTTTCAATTTTAACTTCTCGATTTTTCCATTTTGGACTCATTCGATTTCTGGACTTTTCGGCATTTCGATTTTCTATTTCCATCTCTCGATTTTTCAATTTTTCGATTTCCCAATTTTTCGTCAGCTCAGTTACGAAATTTTCAGTTTTCTAGTTTTTCAACTATTATAAATCTTGGATTTTCACATTTCTCGGTTTTTCGATTTTTAGCTCTTCGATTTTTCAATTTTTTGATTTTTTAAATTTTAATTTTTTGAATTTTTCTTTATTTTAACTTCTCGATTTTTCCATTTTGTCCTCATTCGATTTCTCGGTTTTTCGATTTTCCGGCATTTCGATTTTCTAATTTTTCCACGTTTCGATATGTCAATTTTTCAATTTCTCGATTTTTCAGTTTTTCGGTCTTCAGTTTTCTGATTTTTCAACTTTTAAATCTTGGATTTTACTCTTCGCGGTTTTAAGATTTTTCGGTGTCTCGATTTTTCAGTTTTTCCATTTTAACTTTTCGATTTTTCAGTTTTGGGATTATTGCGTTTTTTTATTTTTCAGTTTTTCAATTTTCCAATTTTTCAATTTCCCGATTTTCACTGTTGGGATTTTCAGATTTTTAGACTTCTCAGGTTATCGATCTTTCAGTTTGATTTTGCAATTTTTCCATATTTCAATTTCTGGATTTTTCAGTTTCTCAATTTCTCGATTAATCGATTTTTTTATTTTCTCATTTTGCGATTTCTCGACTTTTAATTGTTTCGATTTTTCGGTTTTTTAATTCAATTTTTCCAATATTCAATTTTTTGATTTTTCAGATTTTTGATTTTTCGAGTTCTGGACTTTTCAATTTTTCCATGTTTCAGTTTTGGGATTCTTCAATTTTTCGATTTTGAAAATTTTTGATTTTTTGAGTTTTCAATTTCCCGATTTTTAAATTTTTCGATTTTTCAGTTTTTGATTTTTCAATTTTTTGGTTTGTCTATTTTTCGATTTTTCAGTTTTTCAATTTTAATTTTTCAATTTTGGCCTCTTTCGATTTCTGCTTTTCGATTTTTCTAATTTTCAATTTTTTGATATTTCAGCATTTTTCGATTTCTTAAAATTTCGATTTTTTGAGTTCTGGATTTTTCAATCTTTCGATTTCTCAATTTTTCGATGTTTCAGTTTTAGAATTTTTCAATTTTTCGATTATTCGATTTTTAATTTTTTAATTTTTCGATATTTCAGTTTTGGGTTTTTTAATGTTTCGGCTTTTCAATTTTTCGATACGTATTTGAATTTTCAATTTTTAAAATTTTAGATTTTTTTTGTTTCTAGCTTTTTCGATTTTGCTGTTTTTTTGATTTTTAAATTTTTCGATTGTTCATTTTTCGATTTCTGGATTTTTCAGTTTCTCAATTTCTCAATTAATCATTTTTTTTATTTTCTCATTTTGTGATTTCTCGACTTTTAGTTAATTGTTTCGATTTTTCGGTTTTTAAATTCAATTTTTCCAATATTCAATTTTTCAATTTTTCGATTTTGAAAATTTTTGATTTTTTGGGTTTTCAATTTCCCGAATTTTTCGATTTTTCAGTTTTTTGATTTTTCAATTTTTTGATTTGTCGATTTTTGATTTTTCAGTTTTTCAATTTTAACTTTTCAATTTTGGCCTCTTTCGATTTCTGCTTTTCGATTTTTCTAATTTTCAATTTTTTCATATTTCAGGTTTTTGATTTTTCGATTTCTTAAGATTTCGATTTTCTGAGTTCTGGATTTTTCAATTCTTCGATTTCCCAATTTTTCCATGTTTCAGTTTTAGTATTTTTCAAATTTTCGATTCTTCAAATTCTCATTTTTTAATTTTTCGATATTTCAGTTTTGGGATTTTAATGTTTCGGTTTTTCAATTTTTCGATATGTATTTGAATTTTCAATTTTTAAAATGTTAGATTTTTTTTCTAGCTTTTTCGATTTTGCAGTTTTTTCGGTTTTTAAATTTTCCGATTGT